CGGGGGCGCAGGGCGCAGGGAGCCGCGGGCCAGGCCGGGGAGCCGCGCGGGGGCTGCGATGAGCCCGATCCGGGGCAGGGGGCGCTGAGCCGGGCGCCCATCCCCGTGGCTTTGGCGCGCGTGGCTGGATGTGAGGGAGGGGGCGAGGGCTCTGCCGACCCACGCGCGGGGGGACCCGCCCCACGAGCGCCCGCGATGGCCGCCGAGGTGCGACTGAAGCAGCTGGAGGCGCTGGCGCTGGACCGGAACTTCCTGGGGCTGGAGACGCTGCTGGACCTCCTGCTCTGCGTCTCCCACGAGCTGGGCGCCTCGCCCCTGGCCCACGAGAAATACATCGCGGAGTTCCTGCGCTGGGGTGAGTCCCTCCCTGGCCGCGCCCCACGCCCCGGACACCTGGGTCCGTCCCTGGCCGCCCCCCTCACTCCCCAGACACCTGGGTCCCTCCCTGGCCACCCCCCGTGACCGGACACCTGGGTCCCTCCCTGGCCACGCCCCACGCCCCGGACACCTGGGTCCCTCCCTGGCTGCCCCCCTCACGCCCCAGACACCTGGGTCCCTCCCTGGCCACCCCCCATGACCCGGACACCTGGGTCCCTCCCTGGCCAGGGTGGCATATCTAGGGGGCACGCAGCTTTGGGGGGTGATGATGCAGGGGGGCATGGTGCTGTGATGAGGTGGGGGTGCCTGGAAGGCCATGGGGAGGGGGGGCTGGTGGCCGGGCAGTGTCGTGAGTTTGGAAGGGGGGTAGGAGGGGTCTCACGTTCTTGGCAGCATTTTCCTTGGCATCTCCCCTAATCCCCTTAACGGCCCGGCCCAGGGTGGGCCAGGAGCAAAGATAAACCTGCCCTGCCCCCCCACGTATGGAGGAGAGCCGATGAGTCACCCCAGCAGGCCCCAGGGCACTGGACAATCCGCTGAGGGTGGGGGGAACTGGGGCATGACCCTGCTGTCCCTGCCCCCTCGCCATCCGGGCACAGCGGGCCCCCCAGTGAAGGGCAAACGGCTCGGGTGCTGAGGAGAAGGCTACCAGGTGTGGGGCAAGTCCCTGCGGTGCCGGGGGCAGGGGGTCTGTACCAAGATCCACCCCCCAGTGAAATCAGCGACAACGACAAGGGGGTCCGAGCTGGGTCGGGTCTAGTTCGGCCTGGTAGGGGGATGCCTGGGCGTTGTGGATCCGAGCTCTCTTGGGGGTCCGGGTCGAGGGGGTGTGGAAGTTCTGGTTGCCTGAAGCCCATACCGTGGGGTGGTGGCAGGAGCTGCGTGGGACGGGGCTCAGGGCAGGGCGGGGGGACAACTCCAGCCTGGTATCACCGGATCGGATGGGCGGCCGCTGGGTGTCGGGGGAGGGGTCCCCCTGGCGGTTCCAATCTGGCCCCCGTTGACCAAAACCTCCCCCGGCCGATCCCCACCCCCCACGCGTGAAGCGAGTTTGTTGGACTCTCAGCCCAGTTCCGAGTCGGCGTGTGAGCTCCCAGCCCCTGGCCGGCCCATGGAGTGCGGTTCCCTTGGCTGGGGGATACTCCAAATCCAGGCCTCTCTCCGGCCTGCTGCCCAGTCAGTGTTCGGCGCTCCCAGGGGGTGAGGAGGGGGCTGCCGGGCCAAGAACGCTAGCTGGCGCTGAGGGCTCTGGGAGGGGAGTGGGGTCCAGTGGTTAGAGCAGAGGGGGCTGGGAGTCAGGACTCCTGGGTTCTTCCCCCAGCTCTGGGAGGGGAGTGGGGTCTAGTGGTGAGAGCAGGGGGGCTGGGAGTCAGGACTCCTGGGTTCTTCCCCCAGCTCTGGGAGGGGAGTGGGGTCTACTGGTTAGAGCAGGGGGGCTGGGAGTCAGGACTCCTGGGTTCTATTCTCTGCTCTGCCACAGCCCATAGTCAAGTCCCTTCCCATCTCTGTGACTCACTTTCCCGCCGGTGGCAATGAATAGGGAGGGCAAGGAAGGTTCATTACTGACCTCAGGGGAGGTTGCTGCCTCTCATGTGTGTGGAGGGGAGTCAGGACCCCGGGGTTCTTTTCCTGGTCAGGGTGGAGTTCTTGGGTGGTGGGGGGAGAGCTTGCCTAGGGCAGAGGGTGCCCAAAATTCCCTAGACCGCCCCTCCCTGGCTCTGTCCCTGGCGGGTGGGGGACAGGCTGGCTCAGGTGGCCACACTAGGAGCTGCCCGCAGCAGGTACCAGGCAGGTCCATGCCCAAGTGCTCAACCAACAGGAACGTGCTGTGGGCAGAGGGGATGGCCCAGCCCACCTGACAGCAGCCATGCTCCCTCCCCGCACACCCTGGGGCAGACGCAGGGGTTAGGCCAGGAGAGGAGCTTGGAGCCAGGACTCCTGGGTTCTATCCCAGCTCTGGGAGGGGAGTGGAGCCTAGTGGTTAGAGCGCGGGGGGGGGGGGGGGAGCCAGGAGGGGAGTGGGGCAGCGTGCTTCCAGCTGGGAAAGTTTAGCGTCCGGCTCTTGTGTCCCTGCGTAAGGGCTGGAGCTGGGTACCCTGGGCTGGGCTCTGGCTAGGTGGTTACTGCACTAAGGAGAATTGTCTGGCGCGTTCCCCCAGTCCGTTGCAGAGCTGCGGGGGGGTGGGGGTGGGCTGGCTTCCCCCTCCGTGAAATGCGGATGAGGGGGCCCAGAGAGGCCACTTGCCCGAGGCCATGTGACAACCAGAGAACCCAGGCGTCCTGGACATGTGCCGTGTGATCCACGGGCTGAGAATAGAACCCAGGGGGCCTGAGAACTCACCCCCCAACCACAAGGCAGGATGGAGGCCACGGAGCTGGGGGGAGCCCAGGGCTGGAATAGCAGGGGCGCGGCGGGGTGGGGGCTGGACCGGGGGGGGGGTAACAGGGGCATTGTCTTCTGAAGTGGAGGAATCTTGCAACTGTCAGGTGATGCCTTGGAAAGGAAAAGGCCCATAGCCCGGGGGGCAGCCCCCCCGCCGTCCCCATCCTGCGCTTCCCCCCCCAGCTCTGCCGGTGCCCTTCACTCCCGACCCGCAGCCCCCTGCTAGCCCAGCCCTGGGGTTCCCCCCCAAAAACTAGCTTGCAGATCTCCTCCCAAACTGACCCCCAAAGTTTTCTGAAGTTCCAAGGCCAACTGCCCCCACCCAACTCTCTCTTGTGCCCCTCTCTGTGGTCCCTCTCCCCTGCTCCCTCCTCGCATTGGGAACCTACAAGAAGCCGCAGCCCCTGGCCTCCCCCCCCCTCCCCCGCATCCCTTCCCAACCAGGCCTGGTGCATTCCAGACCCCCGTTAGCATCACACAGCTGCTGCCGTTCAGCCTGGATGGAGCCTCATGGCACAGGCATGCCAGCTGTCCCGGGGAGGGGGGAGTTTGGGCAGAGCCGAGCCCGTGTCCCCGGGGGTTGGCATCCTGGCCAGGCAGCGATGGGGTCCCCGGAGGCAGCTGAGAGAGCCGGGAGAAGGGGCACAGGTTGTACCCACAGGCTGCTGGCATTGCCCCGTTCTCTATTGAATCTCTCCGTCCTGGAGACTTCAAAGCAGCCAAGACATCGTCCCTGCTCTCAGGATTATGGGACAGGACTGGCACCCAGGACTCCTGGGTCCTTTTCCCAGCTGTGCGAGGGGTCAAGTGGTTAGAGCAGGGGGCTGGGAGCCAGGACTCCTGGGTCCTGTCCCCAGCCATGAGAGGGGTCAAGTGGTTAGAGCAGGGGGCTGGGAGCCAGGACTCCTGGGTTCTATTCCTGACTCTGTCACTGATTCGATGCACTCTTCTGCTCTGGGATTCGGTTTCTTGTTTGGACAATGGAGCCGGTGACACCCATAAACCTTTGGAGAAAGCAGCCAGGCCCTCAGGCAGAAGGTGTTCAAGGAATGAAAATTGCAGCCACCTCTGGGGTGGGGCGCAGCAGCTGTGTAACAGCCACCCAGCGCTGCAGCGTGGAAGTGAGAGGCGGTGGAATGGGGTTACCGGGGAGCTTTCATGGGCACCCGCCGCTGGTTCCCCGGAGACGCCAATGCCTGAACAGGCCGCAGGCAGAGCTTCCCTCTCCCGCCTCTAGGGGGAGCCCTTGTGGGGCTGAGCTGGGGCTGGTTGGCAGGGTGGGGACCCCCCAAACCCCTCCCTCCAGCCTCATCCAAAGACCGGGCACCCCCACTCTTTGGGCCTCGCTACACGGGACCCGGCCATCACTGCCCCAGGGTGGTGGGTTCCCTTCCGAGCCCCACTGGCCAGGGGTGACTTGCCCCAAGTGGTGTTGATGGGGCACTGCTGTGGGGAAGCTCGCAGCGCTGGAGCTCCCCAGCTCTGTGCTGATGGGGCCCTGCTGGGGAAGCCTGCAGCACCAGGGGTCCCAGTTGGCCAATGCCAGGGGGAAGCCTGCAGTGCCGGGGATCCCAGTTGGCCAGAGCCGGGGGAAGCCTGCAGTGCCGGGGGCCCAGTAGGGCACTGCTGCCTGGAAGTTCACAGCACCAGGGTTTTGGCAGCGGCTGCCGGCCGCTCCGCCAGGCCCGCTGGATCCGCTCCTTATGTGGACAAGCTGGCAGAGCCGCCCCTGCCCTCGGGCCCGGCCTGCGCCACGCGCTGCTGCAGGGGGATTTGTTGTCTGCGTGCTGGGAGTTTGTGCAATGCCATAAAAGGCCGGCTGCTCTCGCCACTGCCCCCCCGCCCCCTTCGCTTTGCGCCGGGAGCTCAGTGCCAGGCTAAACACAGGCCCAGGCCCCGCTGCTTACGGGGAACCAGCAAAGCCCAGCTCAGGGGAGCAGGCTCCAGCGCCCCCCAGTGGCCTTAATATCAGAGCAATGCCCTGCCCCCAACAGCGCCCCCTGCTGGGAGAGGCCAGGACTGGAGTAGCCGGGAGCTCCCCCCACAGCCAGTGCTCCTGCCCCGCTCCCCACAGCGCCCCCCGCTGGGAGAGCCCGGGGCTGATTTGTCTTCTCAGTGGAGGGAGGACGGGCCATGAAGTTTACAAAGCTGCAGTAGGGCTCAGTGCTAGAGCAGGGGGCTGGGAGCCAGGACTCCTGGGTTCTGTCTCAGTGCCGGGAGGGGAGCGTGATCTAACCAGCGCTCTGGTCAGGCCCTGACTAGGTCCCTTGTGTAGAATCAGCTCCGCCCCACCCAGTTCTCTGGGCTCTGGTCACCAGGCCCAGGGCTGACCCTGCTGCCTGGGGGCTAGCGTGTGGCTACAATAGTCAGTGGCTCTGTCATCCCTTGTGGGGATCCTGGTGAACTTCTGGAGTAGCACGGCTGGGGACAGGGAAAGGGAGTGGAGGGGGGGAGCTGGGGGCTGTGGTGTATTAGCGGGGGGGAGGCTTTGGGGTGGACTCCTGGATTGTGGAGGGGGAGCTGTGGTGGACTAGCGGAAGCGGGGGTAGAGAGGGAGCTGGGGGGCACTGTGGTGCACTAGAGGGGGCGGAGAG